GGGGGAAAGGAGGGAAATGCATGGGACTATGGTGGTGGCACACGGGTGATTTGGTGATGGGAAACCTGCGGGGACTACAATCGAAATGGAAAAAAAGAAATGTGCAAAATGATGTAAAAATAAACTTTTGTAATAATTAAAATAAAGAAAAAGTTAAAAAAAAAAAAAACCTCTGAGTTGCACTCTAGCTTTTGAAGATTAAGTTAACCAAGGAGACTCTTAACATATTGTAAAATATAAGTACAATGATCCATTGTCACCAATGTTTAATGTCAAAGAAACAGGTACAAATGAATGGATTCAAAGTTACATAATCATTTAACTGTTAATTTAACAATGATATGATTATCATATGAAATACAATATTTTCTCTTTTCTTATGTTTACATAGGTATCAATTGCCCATTATCTAGGAATTCTTTAACCATTTTAGTTGATTGTTACTCAGAACTCAGAAAAAAATAAAAGTTTTGTACCTTTACTGTGCCAAACACTTCATCTTTAATGTGGCCACCTCCAAACTCCTTTTTCAAAGTTGCTCTTGTTGCTGCATACAACATTTTTTGACGAACCTATTATTAAGTTGGAAATGTTTCCTTATAAGTTTATAGTTTAAAACTATCATTACAAAAGAATGTACTTTTTGAATCTATGAACATCATCAAGCAAAGTCAACTACAGTAAATTGGCTTTAATATACTCAAGTAGGTAATTATAAAAAACCAGTCTAAACATGAGCATCTAAAATATTGATGGTGGGCCCTTGCTGGTGGCGCAAAGGGTTAAAGCAAAGCACTGTGAAGCTAGAGAGCCACAGCTGCTCAATGCCAGGGCAGCTGCTCAATGCCAGGGTGAGTTCAATCCTGGCTGGCAAGGGAGGTGACCCACATGACACAGCAGACCTCTCCTATCTAGCCTGCTATTCTGCTCCCCGCTCAGTCTTTTGGGAATCCTCTCATCACCCCTGTACCTCTGGCCTGTACACCAGTTCTGTATGCATAAATAAATCTTTTTTAAAAATAAAATATTGGTGGTAATTAAGGGAGATTTAACAAGTGGGGGGAAAATCTAAATTAAAAGATGTTTCCTTTTACAACATAAGTCAAGAATTTAAAAAACTACTTAAAACATTACTTTAAAATATAAGAAAACATCCTTGAAATGAAGTAAACTTACCGACTTTTTACTCAAAGCAAATCTAGATCAGACATTACTAATTATGTTATTTAAGGATCAAATACTCAAGGCACACCTATGGCAAATTACATTCTATGAGGGGCACAAAGAGGAAAACTACTATTAAAGAGTCTACAGTAAGCTACTAAAGATAAGAGCCAACCAACAGAAACACTACCACAATTTGTGTGGTGAAATCTAGTGTTCTTTTCATCAAGTTACTGGGAATTAAAGGGAAGAAGATAACTTCTTAGAAAGCTATCTAGATAACTTTAAAAATTATTTTCTACAAGAAATAAGAGAATCTTTAAAATACTGAGATGGGGCCTCACTGGTGGCATAGTAGTTAAAGTCTCAGCACTATCAAGCTATTGCCAGCCACTGCAACATGAGTTCTATCTCTGGCCAAGGAGCTGACCCACATGGCACAGCAGACTTCTCCTATCTCATCCTTGCACCCCTCAGCAGTTTATTTCCATATGTCCGCTTGTTCTGCTCCCCACTCTGTTTCTCACTCTCTCCACCTCCAAACTATAGTCCAATTCTTGTAAGCATGAATAAATAAATCTTTAAAAATAAAATACCATGAAATAGATTACTTTTGTCCTTTGTTCTACTGAATTTGTCTTTGTTCTATTAGTCAGTGTACTAACTTTACTAAAATATTTTAACGTGCATATCTACCACTTAAATGGTAGCTATTAATAATACATTAATACTTAATAAAATGCTCAATTAGTTCTCTGAATTATGTCATTGTTACTCTCATAGCAAAGTAATTTTATTCCTCAAAAGTCATTTGTAGTTGCCACCGCTTTTTAAATTTAAGATCAGTAATGATTCTATTGATTTTGTGAAAAGAAGACTTCTGAATGGAAGCACATTATTCTTTGTTGCAAATATCTGAGGAAATCCATGATCATCCTTCTCTATGGGGAGGCTCCTTTCCTTTCTCTTGATCTAAGAATATTTCAGGAAAAAAAAAATTCTAGCACTTAGTATAAAGAAATTACCAAAAACTTACTTACATGAGAATGATCTGGAGACCATGCAATAAATATCCATTCATATCCCTGGGCATTCTGAGAATCTAATCTGAATAATATATAGCATGGTTGTTTGTCCTCCAACAAGGGTAAAATAAAGGAATCATAATCCTTATCCCAGGAATCTGAAGGCTGACTACAAGATCCAATCACAAGTTTCTCTACAAAGAATAATTTTTAAAAAGATGCATAAGTGGTTTGAAACACAGACAGTTAAGTGATGAATGGAAAAGTAAACTAACATAGTTATTTCCTAATTGCTATTTTTCATATAAAGCTGAAAAGAAAAAGGTTGGAACATAAAAAAATAAGTATAATGTTTATAAAAAAAATTAAGACTAGCACAGTTAAAATAATTTTATATATATGTACACACATACATATATACTCAAAAGCTAAAGAAACACATAAAAAAGATAGCTGAGGTAAAGAGTGGCTTACTTATTATATTCTATTTTCCAAAATGATTATAGCATAAATTATCACAAAACATATTTAAAGAAGTATACTACCTCACAAAGATTCAATTTCTGAAATTAACACTGAATTATATAGTAAGATACTAAATAAAACCAATGGTTGAGCTCCTATTTGTCCATAATGGGTGTTCAGAGGAAATGTAAGAACTTGCCCAGAAGTATAATTGATAAAGCTATCCTGAGGCACTTTTTGGCAGACTCAAGACAGACGGTGAATGTACTCTGCATAGACAATCTCTTGTACTTACATATAAAGGTGTTCAGTGCAGCAAAACGTAATTACAGTGAGAACCAGCAGTATCCCAAAGGTCCATCAGTAAGAGAATGGACATATAGTATATGACAGAGTCATATAAAACTGTTTCTAGTTTTAAAAATTTAATAAGCTGTCTAAACTAATCACAAAAATGTTTACAGGAAGAGAGGAGGTAAAACCAGATGACTGCTTATATATGTTTAAAACTCAAAATAGCACTATGTTTTTCTAGGGATACATACAGAAAACGGACTGCACAAATAGAAGAACTCCTAATATAGACTTAGGTGAATAGCCTCAGGTGAAGGAGGTCAGAAAGTGAAATTGTTGAAAAAGGAGGCTCATATCCAAAAACAGCTTGCAGGAAATATGATTAAAACATTAGCAGTTATTAATTTAAAAGGAGGTAGAAGTATTTACTGTATTATTTATCTTCTGTAACTTCCTTATGTAAGAACTTTTCTCAAAAACAAAAACATAAAACCAGAAAAGGATCGAGGAAACATTATAATTTTCCTTCTGTGGAGATGACAATTGGATAAACTTTAACTTTACTATTTCAGATAATCTGTCACTTAAAAGTGATGGCCTTTATAGTTTTAGTTCAATATTTCTAAACTATGCTACTTCACAGTTTGTTTATTCCTGTTGAATGTGGTAATATGGATTTTTTCAAATGACTGGTAATTTTGACATGTAAGTAGAAAATGGAAAGCAAATTAGACTGACTTGCAGTTCATGAAAAAAAAAATTTTTCCAAAGTATTTCAAGGTATTTAAGTAATTAGGCTAATGACTATTTCAATATTCACCTGTGACTAAGTTATTAAAATGTTGAGTATTCAAATGCAAATCTATCCTAATTAAATGATATTACTATCCAAACAATTATTCTGCTAACAGAATTATTTTGAAAACATCAACTTATAGTTTGTTATTCTCAGAATTTTCCCAAAATAATGAGAATCCTTTCTGCAGTAAAAATTGGATTTAAGCTGAAAAAATGGGGTGTTTGAAATCTTTTGTTTCTATTTCAAAACCAACTCTATAGAATAACAATTTGTAAGGAACCTTTTTTGAATATTCACCTGTTTACTGATTTTTCATTACAAAGATAAAAAGTACTTAAATTAGAAATGGATTTTGGTGCAGAAACTGAAATACAAAAAGAGGAAGTTATCAAAACAACTTTCTGTTTTCCTGATCAAATTAAGAATTCAGAAGCAAAGCAGAACTCAGAAGCAAAGCAGAAGTTTAGGGACAAGCCCAAAATATACAGAATCCAAGTATCCTAAAGGCAAGCTTTAAACTTACTTGTACATTAACAGTTCAAAACATTGACAAAGACTGACAAGTTTAAAAATATAACACCCAATAAGCCATGGGATATATTTTAAAATATTTAACTAACCATTTAAAATATTTAACTATTAACTTTAAAATATTTAACTAACCATTTTCAATAGATATCTTCAGAAGTCTGTATTTTCCATTTCTTGCTTTGGCAAAGACATCTTTAACATCTTCACTTGCTGTGGAAAAAATAAATTTATCTTTATACTTCTGTATTACTTTCTACTGCTACTGAAATGAGGAAAACACGAAGAATGCAAAAATATAATACAAGTTATGTAATAAAGAAAAAAGCTGATATAACGTGTAAATGGACACATGTAGTCTCATTAATATTGATGTATTAACATCTGGATGTACAGATATCCAGTGGGAAAAAAATGGGAGACTTTGAAATGTTTTTTGTTTTTTTTATTTCAAAACTAAGTTTACTGAACAATAATTTGTAAGTAACTTTTAGGGGGTGGGAGAAGGTAGTTTACTATTAATACTGAGTTTCATTCCAGAGATTAAAAGCACTTAGATTAGAAGTGGATTTCAGTATAGAAATACAGCAATATTAATGCCATTCTTTTTAGCTTGATATTTCCATAGTCATTGTAACCCTAAAGTGACTATGTTGCTCAAATCCAATACTAGGCAAATCACAATTTTTCAAAAATACTTTTACTGCTTGTTTGGAAAATGTTGAAAACTGCTTTTTATTTTCTTCTAGTCCAATTACAACCTTCTAGTCCAATTACAATCTTCTAGTCCATGGCTGTAATTAGACATCTTCATCAACTCATTTTCTATATTTTCCCACTAAAAATCAGTAAATATCAGATAACTTACACGGGTAAAAGTCATTAACATACATACAATCTTATGCTTTTAGTTATATTTTTGTGATTTGTATTTCTCAAAAAAAAAAGTAGAGTGAGCAAATATATACTTAAAAACCCCATGCTTGTGTTCTTAAAGTTTCAGTTTTGTTGTCCAGTTGCAAAGTGAAGCAAGAACCTCTGTATTGAAGGGGCGCTCACTAGAAGGCTCGGGCTTGAAAGTTAATAAATAAATATTTAAATGTCAAAGCTCATGAGGACAAACAAATAATGCTTCGAGATTTGAGACCATTCTGCTTGTGGTTGTGTGTGCAGGGGGAGGTGTGCGCGGTGTCAACGACCCTTAGGAAAAAACATCGCAGAGTGGATCTCGCTAAACAGTTTGATGTTTATCAACAGGACGCGCTTAGGTTTATATGATAACTTGTTAAACGATCTCGAGTAACCCCGGGATATATTTTTCATTCCGAGGAGAGCCCTTCCAGACTGTTCATTTTCAGTCCAGGAAATAACCAAGGTCAGACTAACTGCGCACTCCCTGCTTGCTCGGGACGATCCACAGCACAGACCCGACTTTTCAGGTTTTTGTTTTGTTTTGTTTTGTTTTGTTTTTGGGAGGGGTACTTAAGAGGAAGACCCAAACGCACCCCAGACTTGGGGTTTCTCAGAACGCAATCCACGTTCCCATTTTGGGAGAAAATGCAGCAAGAGTTTGAGAAGCTTCCTCGCCGAAAAAAAAAAAGATTCCAGCCGCTTTCTTTTTGACAATAAAGTCGCATACCCATCTCCTTTAGACTGTGCAAAAGAAAACCAGCCCGTCTCTTTGACAGCAGACTGAAGCGCTGCCACTCGGGCTTTTCGGTTCTTCCTCACTTGACAAAAACCTGGAAACCCGCTGACCGCAGGAGCGGCGCAGGGCACGCCTCCTCCCTGGGTCCTCTGGGGGCACCAATTTTCTTCACTCTGGCGAATTTCGGGTTCGTCTGCAACGTGGCGGCCGCCGGGCCAGGGCGGCGGGCGACACAGGCCGGGAGCGTCCCGGACGACTCCGCTAACAGCGGCCCGCGCGGTATACGAACCCGACGCCCCACTGCCCAGCCCGGCCAGTTCGCCGCACGCCAGATAGCGCAGCGCCTCCCAAGAGCCCCTTCCCCGCGGGCCGCCCCGCGCGCCGTTACCTTGGATGCCGGTCTGGTGGGACATGGCGGCGGCCGCGGGCTCCCGGCTCCAGCGCAGAGTGCGGCGAGCGGCCCCGGCCGGCAGCTCCAGGAAGTGGCGGCGCCCCCGCCCGCCTCGACGTCATCCACCAGCGACGCCGGCCGCTCCGCCCCCAGGGTCCCTCGGCGTCCTCGCGCGCCCCTGGCCCCGCCACGCCCGCCCTGGCCTTCACGGTTCCCGCTCCTCTGCCAGTGTCCTGACGCCGGCCACGTGCGCCCCCCTGTCGGGAGCCCCACCGGTGCTGGAAGGGGCCCTTGCCCTGCGGCGTCTGCCCCTGACGACCCTGCTGACACAGTCGCGCTCTAGCGCAGCGCAGAAGGCACCAAACCCGGAAATGACCATTTTATTGAATTTACGTTCTCAGCTTTAAAACAGAGGTGCCGGTATCCTTCTTGGATTACTTTTACTGTCATCCCTAGAGTTCAGTATAAACACTCCAGCTCCATTTTTTTTTTTCAGGTTAAATTTAATTTAATATAGAGGCGGTCTCCTATGCAAGGTGTCCACCCTTGTAAATGCAATTAATCAAAGACTTTTCTTTGTTCAGAGAAGCACATTCAGAAACCTTGTTTTCTGTTTATTCCAAAAAGAGAATCCCCTGGGAATGAGAAAATGAAACCGACTTGAGGATTCCCCTGTGGTTAGTTCTACCATTGCAAACCGGTTGTTTGTTCTTTAACCAATTATTCAAGATTCGCGTGTGTGAACTTGTAAGGTAATAGCAGATTCTGTTACAAAGTCGTTATCATTTTCTGCTTTTTTGAAAGCATGTATTTCTCTTTCTGAATTTTAGTTATAATTTTTGTGCCACTTTAGAGCTACCCTAGATTATAGTTTCCAGTAGAAAGCTGGCTTTTTGTTTTTGTTTGTTTGTTTCGAGGGCCTTGACATGAGAAATATACAAAATTACAGTCTACTTATCCACAAATACTTTGGTCAATGTAAATGCTAGCTAATAAAATTACTTTTCAAATACAGTATATTTTTAATTCGTTATAAACTAGCAAGTCTCCCATTGTTTTTCTTTCCAAGGATCCCAGCAAACAAGGTTCCTGTGTTCTGTTCCTTGTTATCTAAACTCATGTCTCAAACAGATGCTGATATTCCAGAATAAGCAAAATTTGAACTATTATGACTTGAGCTTGGATTTAAGAAATGTAGGGAGGTGTCGTTCTAACCAAATTCTTTCTGACTCAACAGTTCACCCTGATTTACAAGTTTTGATTGCATTGTTGAGCACAGAGAAAATGGCCAAGTTCATCTCATAGTTTTTTCCCACTGATTCAGGACCTAGTGAATATGGAAATTTCACTAAATAAGTTGGCATTGCTTAAAAGTACTAATGAGAAAAATGTAACTATCCCATATTTATGCTTAGAAAGGACCACTGTATTTTCAGCCCTGAGGAGGTGGAAAGTACATTTAGTTGAGTGGGACCCAAGAGAAAGTGCTTTTTGTCTGTCCTGCAGTTTGACTTACAAACTTAAATGGCTTTGGGGACATTCTTTTTAACTCTTTTCCTCTGAGCAAAACAGAGAATGTGAAAGGGGAAAAATAAGCTAAGCTATAAAGAGCATAACCAGAATGACCTTTTTTTCTTATTCATCAGTATTTCTACAGGTGTTTAAACACTTTATTGTACTATATTCGATGTATGTGCAAAGAATGAATTGATGTTTTCATAAATGTTTTATTAAAAACTTGATAATACAATTAAATCTCACTACTTTATTATATTTGATGCTTATTTCAGATTGGATTAAAGTTTAGCATTATATAACTGGAGAAATTATTTATTAAGTGTATTGATTAATTTACCTATTTCAGAAAACAGATTTATAGTAGAAGTATTGCTCCTTTGGTTAATCTTAATAACAACCTCTAAAAAGATTCCTGTTTGATCCATCTAACATCAGTGTCTTCTTTACTTCACTTTGTCAACAATTAAAAAATGAATTCATTTTGTCTTCAGCAAACTAGCCCTTACTCAAGGCTTTAGCATTCCTGTTATTTGATATTATCACTTAAAAAGCAAGACCTTCTAATCTGCCACACAGCTGTCTTCAGATCTGGCAGGACTTGCTCCTATTAACCATGTCATTGGTATCATAGGTAAAAGTAATGTAGATCATAATTAAAGGCTGAAATTTGAAACTGTGACTCAACTCTATATTCATTTGTATTTATTAAATCACTCTTGCAAAAAGCTCATTGATGAATTAAACAATGTTTAATAAAATTATTTCATTTACCTAGTTGGCGTGTTTCTAAATCTTCTACATTCAACTAATACTGCATCTGAAAGCAGAAGCCTTCTTTAGATTCTCTCTTTGTCTTGTTGCCCGCAGCTTCTTAACACTGTTTTCTATGCTGACCCTACTCATTGTCATCCTGAATTGCTCTTCAAACTTGGCAGTTCCATGCATTCTGACCTGCATTTCCCCCAAAATACATACCCAACATGTTGTAAACTCTTGGTTTGACACCCAAAACCCTCTACAGTCTTTCTTAATATGTTCCAATACAAGTGAAAATTATGCCTCCAACTAACACCATATATTCTTTATTCTCCTGTTTTTCTGATCAGGGAAACAGCTCCCCACTTACCTGCTATACTACCAGCTCTTTTCCTTCTGTCTCTCTCTTTTCATGTTTAACCCATCCTTTGGAGCCGTATCCACTTTCATGAAGCCCTTCCTCAATCTGTTATATAATGTGTATGTCTTCAAATGCCTTTAGCATTTTCTATATTTATGTTAGCCACCGCCTTTCTTACTCTTTCCTTTAATCACAGATGTATATGAATTCATTCCAGTTCTATTAGATAGTCTAGCCCTTGATATGGGAAGCTTATATGAGTTCCTTGTTGTATCTCATATATTTAGAAAACATTAATTTTTCTTTCACTCAATATTCTTAAATTGAAGGCATAGTCATAATGACAATGTTCTGTAAACTTTTCTAGAATAATAAAGGAGGGTGCTGCATAGTTTTCCATATCTATTGTGTATTTGCTACAAAATATCTGGAAACAGTTCAATTATTTTACTAAATTAAAATGAATTTTTTTAAAGATTTATTTTATTTATGCTACAAGAATTGGGGTGCAGGCCAGAGGTGCAAGGATGAGAGGACTCACCAGAGACAGAGTGGGGAGCATAACAGGCAGATCTACTGAAATCCACTGCTGAGAGGAGGGGCATTTGAGACATGAGAGGTCTGCTGCACCATGTGGGCCAACTTTCTGGCTGGGATTGAACTCAGACCACAAAGATAGCTTGATAGTGCTGAGACTTTAACCCCTGCACCACCAGGGAGGCCCAAATAAAACTGAAAAAATCTACATCGGAAAATTTTTCTTTTAAGACTCCTATTTTGTTTTTATAGTAATTATGTTTTTAAAGTGATAGCTCAGACAAAAAATAAAAACTGCATCTTCTCACCTTTACCTCTTTCTTTAAAAATTCACAGGGTCACTTTATTGTTTGCTCTATGGATTTATATAATCTTCCTGTTAATTGCATATATGAATCCTCTGCTTTGCACACAAATATGACTTCACTTTCTCTCTCCCTTGTGTTTCTAGTTATTAAACATTTGTCAGGGCTGTGATAACCACAATAAGTATGCTTACATAATAGTGTACAGTTTTCAAACAGAAGATAGACTTACCTGAGCACCAATATAATCCTACCCAACAGACTGATGGTAATGTTATCAGATTTTATTTTTTAACTGCCCTATAAATGAAAAACAGTTACCATAATGGACATCGGTTTTAAGTTTGGAACCAGAATATTTACAAATTTGGTGGGGCTAGTGCTAACATCATAACTTAGAAGTCATAAATCCGAATGCGCACACAAGAGATCAGTGAAATACTATGAATACTATACTCATGGAGAACATTTACCCTGATGGAGCTTGGTCTCCATTGAAAGGAAGCTGCCCTCTACTCCAGATGATGGGGCACTGGGGTCCAGCATTATCAGTCTCCCAATTTTCAAATTGGAAATTGGAATTTTCTACAAAATCTCCATTTATAATACAATATAGGAAAATATAATGTACACAACATTCATGTGAGCAGTATATATGCTTGTGTATAATGTTGTATGAAACTATGAAGAGTCATCCACATTGTCTTTCTGAATTGAAAACTTTTCATAGCACAAATGACTCTTCACCTGTGGTATAATTGTGGTATGATTTTAATTACTTACATATAGTTGTACTACTTACAATCTTCCTACAGAAGAAACTCTGTTATAGGACAAAAAGCCATGTTGAAGCTACAGGGCCATGAACAAACCTTTTAACCTATTGGATCCTCAGTATTGTCATACCAATACTGTTACCTTGTAGTTGTTATGGAAACCAAGATGCAGTTTACTAAGCTTCCAGCACATTAGGTGCTCGATTTATGTGAGGTTTCATCTTTGCTAGTTAGAATCAAGTCCAACACAATATAATACATGTGAAACTTAACAACATATTCCAAAATGCATATCATCAAAACAGGGCAATTGAAAAGTTAGATTGAATTTCTAAACAATCCAAAGTTGGTTTGTTATTCAGGATCATAAAAATGATATTACTGTTAATTATTACATCTTGCTTCAACAGTTATTTAGATTTATAAGGCATTGAATAAGAAAAGTAACACTTGGTCATAAAAATGAGGATTAAGCAAGCATTATACCTTGACAGAAAAGAACTTTTTTTCATATGCATGTAATTATAGCCTCCGATAATCCAAATTAAACACCTGCCAAGATTTCTAAAACTTTAACACAATAGAATATATAACAGAAGATTCTTTCATTCCTGTCAGCTCTGTGGTATTTGAATGAGTCACTGAGAAAAATAGGACACAGAGTTTGTATTAAATAACATTCAAGCAAATAACATCTCTTTATTTCCTCTGAGTGAGATCTTGGTTGAAGTAATCTTAATACATAGCATGTACTTTCTAATGAAAGAACCATGGTTCAAAAGAGTTGTTGATAATGTTAGGCTGCATCTTGCAATCAAAATGCAGGAAAG